AGTCAGCTTACTTGCCATAACCTTTCTATCGTACTATCATAGTTAGTATAGCATTAATCGGGAGGGGTAGGCATGCGGTATTACCAGACTCAACCACCTACAGACGAACTTGTGGAAATTTGCGTTCAGTGCCGCAAGTCTTATCGAAAGGAAAGGAACGTCCGGCGCGGGGAACAGACCTGTTCACCAGACTGTAGAGCAGCGTTCCACAGGGCAAAGGCGCGGGAACGGCTGGCCAAGGCCCGGGACGTTCTTGAGAACTCCTTCGAAGTTGCATGGGTCGAGGATGGAGACAATACCCAGACCTTTACTGTCAGGATTTTGAATGAGCCCGCCCTGCGGGTGGTAGCCGGCTATGCGGGTTTTGCCGGCGATGATGCGGTCCAGCAATACATACATCGGTTCTTTCACCAGATGAACGTTGAGCATCACGGCCAGGTCGGGAAGGCGCTCACCCAGGCGGCCCGGCAATTGGCAGAGGAAACGAGACGCTTGACCCCATAACCAGAGGGCAAAAGTTAACCCGCCGGTGGGTAAGCCGACGGGTATTTTCGAGGGGTGGATTAGGCCCCTGCGAGGTGATATTGAGTCAACCAAAAGACTATCAAAATGGCCACAAAACGTCAATGCCTTTTGACCATAATGGCCAGGAAATTGACCCAAAAACCGCTGACCTTTCCATGCGCCTGGAAGACCTGGAAGAGGTAGGGCCGCAAGGTCCAGATCCCCACCTCATCATTCAGCCGCCGGTTGTAGGCACTCCCGACCTTATCCCCAACTGCGAAGGTTACTGGGTCCTTTTCTTTGAACCGCCTGAGTTGAATGATGAGGGGTTGATTGAGGAACCGGACCGCTTCGGCCATGATTACAAGTTCCTCATTACCCGACAGCCCTTTGACCTGGACGGGGGGCACAACTCCCCCCCCGGCCCAGGGAGTCCAGCATCCTGGCCCCGGTCGGTGTCTAGAGCCACTGACCGGGGCCTCTTCATAGAAGGGGGTGAAGCATGGCCAATGAACGGTGCGGCCGGTGCGGCGGGATGTTGGCGGAAGATTGCCAGTTTCCAGGTGAAGTAAGTTGCCGGAGTTGTGGGCGCCGGAGTTACCCTGCCACTTCGGATATACCGTTGGTTCTCTATTGCCTGGACTGCGAAGGTTCATTCCAGGTGCCGGACACGGCCAAGGGCAAGTCTACGAAAGTCTGTGGCTCTTGCCAGTTGGTGAAGCAAAGGGCCGCTGAGGAAGCCCGTAAAGGCATAGGGGGAACGGGGCCACTGTCAATATCAACCCAGTGTCAACGGTGCGGGGCCACCTTCACATACAAGAAGACATATGACTATGACGGGAACTTGGGGAAGAAGCAGTGCGGCCCATGCCGGAGGATTGTCGGCGGTCACTCCCCACCGGAACCGGAACCTACCCCGGAACTGGGGCAGATGGCCATAGGGCTGTGAAGGGCGCCCCCGAGTCAGTCAAATTCCTCATCAACTACGCCGGCGGCGACCAGGACGTCGATGAGCATTTCCTGCCCAAGTTGGGAGTGGAGCGACTTCAGATCTCCCTGGGCGCGGTACAGGGCGACCTGGCAGACCTGGCAAGTTACGAACCGGAGCTCTCCCGGGACTATAGCCCTGTTCAGCTCCCGCTCGCGGCCGCAGAGTGCTCTCTCCGTCTCATAATTCCAGGCGGGACGGCGAACTGCCCCGCCGCCGGTGATGATGTAGACCATGGCGACCCTCCTTACCCTCGGGATCTTCCCATAAAGGGTAATGTGCGACCCAGGGGAGGGTCGGGTCCTTAACAGAATGGCTATTATGCGACCGAGGCGACCCTGGCGAGGGTCTCGACCCTAGCTGAGGTCACATACCAGGCCTTGTGCGAACCTAGTCGTCCTTCTTCCCCTCTAGCGTTTCAGAAATATGGTGGTATACCTTTCGAAACCTGGCCAGCAGCGTGTCGTCTTCCTCATTGTTCAACCGTTGCCCTTTAGTTATATCCCACGCCAGGTCGAGCTTCTTAATTACTACTTCTGGCCTTGTATCTGTGTATTCCATAAATCCTCCTCCTTCTGTTTCATAAACGCCCCATTGTCTGACTGTCTCATAACTAGCCACTCGAAACTTAAACAGACTGTTCATTAAGGGCATTGGAACAAACAACAGGGTCAAGACAGTCTCCCTGCAGTACGTGGTCCGCTACAGCATCCAAACGGTAGTCAATCAATTTTTCGTACTTCACTTCATTGAAGTAAACAATCGTATCGCCGCAAGGAGCCTCAAATGAACCCATCGAGGGACCTTCGCCAACTTGGGGCTGCTTGGGAAGAACCCTCTCAATTGCTTTGCGTCTGTTTTTCCTATGCTTGCTTTTAGGCACGTTGCTCACCTCTAAATCCTGTCAACGTAGGAGTGGTGCTCCCCGGCCAGGTAAACGTATTGCATGGTCATTGCCAGAGACGAGTGGCCCAGCCACTTCTGCAGGACGTTGACCGGTACGCCCTGGAGAATACAGTGGCGCCCGTAGGTGTGCCGGAAGGCGTGGGGATGGACCCTGGATGGCTGAATGCCGACCTCGGCCGCGGCCTTCTTCATTCCCTGCCCCACCGCCTGGCGGGACAGCTCGACCAGCGGCCGGTTACGGGCCTTTGTCTCGCCCGAGGCGCGGTCCCTGAGTATCTCCACCAGGTCCTCGGGGATCGGGATCTCCCTGGCCGTCTTTGGCCTTGTTCCCGACAATGTCCGCCGGCAGGCTGATGATCGGCGGCGACCGGTCAAAGCGGAGCTGAGACGGGCCGCACCTGCAGGGCCTCGGAGACGCGAAGGCCACACCGGAGCATCAGGCGCATCGCCAGGCGGGTGTCTCCGGATTCAGTTGCCTGGATCAATTCGTTGGCCTCCTCCATCGTGAAGTAGTCGGGGAGTTTCCTGGGTTTCCTCGGGCATACCCTACCTCCAAAAACGGGGCTTTTGGAAAGAGGGTAAGCCTGCAGCCAGCCGGATCACAACCAGGAACTGTCAGCGCCAAAGCTGGGCCGCGCCGGCCGCTTGCGCTTTTACGAGTATTTTGGAAAGCTACCTTATCCCCGTGATAATTTGTCCAGTTCGTTCTTTATATTTCTCAAGGCCCGTCCCAAGTAAACTGCATCAAGCCCATTCTCGTGACGGTCACGAACGGTCGCTAGTGTTACTTCGTTTCTGATGCCTTTGAGCACTTCCTCAATGGTGTCTGTGCGTTGGCGCAGAAGCGTCAGTTCTCTATCCAAGTCTCTGCTGCTTGTCATCATTCCCTCCACTTTCATAATGAACGATGTAGAGCTCAGGTTATCGTCTTGCCGGTCGCCGTGGAAACGGCCTCTGCGAAGACTCGGGGGCCGGCAGTCTCCACCAGTTCGCTGAGGTTAGTAGTCCACCTGGCAAACTCCGTGCTGCAGACGCGGCAGTCTGCAGCACGGACGGTGGCCACGATCTCAGCCGGTTCGGCGCGGCGGCCGCAGACGGTGGTCCGCTTGGCGAAGTTCCACAGGTGCTTCTTGGGATTGCGACGTCTGGCCATTGGCCACCTCCTTTTTGCTGTTAGAAGGATGGTAACAAAGAAGGGGGCTTAGGGTATTTACCCTAAGCCCCCTAACATAAAACAGTCACTGTGCGACCATGGCGAGGGTCGGGTTCTTAACAGAACGGCGGATGTACGAACCAAACTGCCCGTGGAATCCCTGAAGAATTGCAGCTCTATTTTCGCCTCAGGCCGACGTGGCCCGGCAACGGAGCTGCGCCGCTCCGGTGGAGCTGGCTTGGATATGCGTCCAGGGTGAGTTGCGTTTCCTTGAGGGTAAATATTTGGGAATTATATGCGGAGTTACCCACTTATCCAGGACGGATAAGATGTTCGGTTATTGCAGAGGAATGTACCTATGTGTGCAGGTCTTAGCCCTGCTTCATCTGAGGTCTGCGCCGTGCGATTAAAAATGTGACGCCAATCACCAAGGCGGATATGCCGGCGGTGAACGGGAAGGTCATCGCGAGGATGAGCCGGACGGCTTCAGGCTTGATGCCGGCTATTGGGACGTTCAGCACAGATTGGACTATTACGAATAGAAACACGGCGAGCCAGAACAATCCGACGCCGATGGCGGTCTTCTGTAATATCGGGTGTGACATTGTTCTATCTCCTTTCCAGTCAAGCTGGTGGGTAACATCGTATATAATTGCCAAATATTGCAGGGATTATAGCCGACCCGCCTACCGGCGCAAGTCTGGGGGGCGGACACGGATTTGGGCGGGTTATGGACGCTGACTATCGTCGGAGCTCCGCCGATGCGACGGCGGCGGCTGGCCAGCAATGCACCCATAACTAAACCAAAGCCAAGGTGAAATGCGCAGAGACATGGGGTAAATTGGCGGTGTAACCGGATTAGCTTTCAGAGTTGTCAGGGAGGGGTTGGTGATGGGAGGTAGTGACATGGACGGGTATCTGGAACAGTGGCAGATGAATGCCAAGGACTTGCGCCGTCGGCTGATCCTGGCGCCGACGCCCAGGGAGCGGGAAAGGTGGTATGCCATGCTGCTGCTGGCCCAGGGTTGGACCGCATCGGCGACTGCGGAGGCCTTGGAACGAGACCCGCATACCATAGGTCGATGGGTTGCCGCCTTTGGACAGAGAGGACCCAGGGACATTGATATTCGAGCAGAGTGGGGGTTCCCCACGCCCTTGGCGAGACGCAACAGGCGGAGTTGAAGGCGGCGGTGCAGGACTTGCCGGAGCAGGCGGGCATCGAACTGGCAACTGGAACTGCCAACTCGAACTGGAGGGTGGTGCACCGGTTTGTCTCGGAGCGGTTTGGCATCAGCCTGAGCCGCAGCAGTTGCCTGAACTACCTGCACCGCCTGCACCGCTTGGGATTCGTCCTGAAGCGGCCCAAGAAGCGGCTGCTGAAGGCGGATGAGACCAAGCGTGAGGCCTTTGTGGCGGAGTACGCTGCCCGGTGGGATGAGGCCCAACGGACCGGAGCACGGACCGGAGCCAGGACATTCTTTGCCGACGAGGCCCACTTCAGGGGCCGACTCCGAAC